GCTCAAACTTAATGAAGCGAAAACCAGTACGCTAAGAATAACTTCCGACAAATGGAATGAGACTTCATCATCCGTAAAGTTATTAGGGATCGTTGTGGATAGCCGCTTGACCTGGTCGGAGCATGTGGACCAGTTTGTACAAGATCTCCAGACAGATGTTTATCATGAGGCAACTGGCTCAGTGTTTGCACAGACAAACCATGAGAACTGTATACTTTAGCCTCATTTCATATTCAATCTGTCGTATGGTATCATCCTCTGGGTAATTCTGTCAATGCCCAAAAAGCATTTACAATGCAAAAGGCTGCTATACGGATTGTAGCTGGGCCGTCTCCTACGATCATACGTGCCGCGGTTTGTTCAAAGAGATGCGCATACTGCGTTAGCATGCCTGTTCATACATGAGACCCTTTTACATGTTCACGCAAACCTGAGTACTTTTTCGATAAGATCAGAGACACACAGCTATAATACAAGATACGCTAATGATATATCATTACCGCAATCTAGGATCGCCATGACCAACAACAATAGATTAATGTGTCGCTTTACAATAACTTTGTTAGATATCATAAGCGGTCCAATTGAGAAGATGTCTAACAAACAGTTCTCTAGGTTCGTCAAAAACTATTTGTTAAAAAACTGTTTCTATACTGTAAGTGAATTTTAAGTGCATGTGATCCTAGTGATCAGTGATCGTGTGTAGAGCAAGAAGACAGACTGTATAAACTTTATCTAGTTTGTGACCTCAAACATGTATCTATATGTATAAGTGGTCAATAAATGGTATGGTATGGTATGGTATGGTATTTTATTATAATTTAATTATTATTATTATTTGTTTATTTTCCACAGCCCTATCTATTCAACTGGTTCTGTCCATGTGGGCCGGTTTTGGTTGGTCATTTTCATTATGGTACTTCGAAGATGTTACCCACATCCTAACGAAGTCCATTACCTTATAGTGTCTTACGTAATATGGTTGCTGTACCATACAAAGCAATTTCCTGCACGTCTGCTGTCCTGTGCCTTCCTGGTATGAGATTTAGGTTTTCATGTAGATTGTCTGGGATCGTCCCTAATGCACCTAAAATTACGGGAACTATCTTCGTTCTCAGATTCCACATTCTTTGGATTTCAATTGAGAGATCTTTGTATTTCAATTTCTTTTCAGCTTCTTTGTTTACAACGTTTTCATCGTTGGGGACTGAAACATCTTAGCAGGCAGGTTTTGTCACGTTGGTTTTGACGATTATGTCTGGACGGTTCGCGGATATCTCACGATCTGTTTGCACTGGTAAGTCATATATTATGGTAATCTCATCTTTACTAACTACTGGAGTGGGATTGTGATTATACCATTTTTCTTCCACTGCGATCCCAAAGCTTATACAGATGGCATGATGCAAGTATATGCATATTTATTATGTCGGACCAAGTACTCGTGCTTCGCCAGTTGAGGACAGCCGGATATAAGATGATCTATTGTTTCTGAGTATTGTTTGCACATTCGACATCTATCATTTGCTGTTATTTTGAGGATATGTTTCTCATAATGTCTTGTACGTAGGGCCTGGTCTTGGGCGGCCGTTATCAGGGCCTCTGTTTCACCTTTTACCTTCCCTCTCGTGAGCCACGCAAACGTTTGGCATTCATTAATCCCTGGCCTCTTAATTCTCTTCACGTATTGACCATGAAGCTGCTTTCGTATCCATTTATCCTTCAAGGTCTTCCTTGTCATGGCCTTAATATCTGTAGACAGTAACTCTTCTTCATCCTCGACCGCTTGATTTTCTATTTCCGGTAGATGTGTCTTTACAATTTTTATCGCTGACTTGACTACTGACTTTCCAACTCGAGGGTGCCTTTCACATCTCCAAATTTGTCTAACTAACTTATCATTTCTACGGCTTCTTAAATAATTGGCTATGGATACAACTGTATTATCATAAGTCATCTCTAATTGCCTGAGTCCTCTACCTCCTTCTTTACGACTCACATATAGCCTGTCTACATCAGCTCTAGGATGCAGCTCAGTGTCCATGAATAGTAAGCATCTTCCTTGTTTTACGATCTAGGTCTGCAATTTCCTTCTGACTCCAATCTATGATTCCAAAAACTGTATTCTACTATTGGAACAGCTATACTGTTGATGGCTAGCAGTTTATTTCGTGCTGTTAAGTCTGAACGTAGTACCATCCTAAGCCTTCTTAGATATTCTTACTGATGGTCTCTTTCATTTCATCATTACACAATTCTGGGTTTTCATAAACTCCAAGATATTTATAGCTTTCTCCAGCATCTAGGTTTTTGATGGTAATATTTGCCTGGACTGTTATGTTTTCCGTTTTTTCCACTTTTCCGTTCTTTATTGTCGCTTTGGCGCACTTATCTAATCCGAAGTTCATATGAATTGTGCTACTGAAGTCGTGAACTATCTTAATTTGCTCTTCAAGCGCTGTGTCCGAACTCGCGTATAGCTTTAAATCATCCATGTACAGAAGATGTGTTGTTGGCTGCTCATCTTGAGTAGTTTATATCCCAATTTTGGCTTTTGATTTAGCATTCTGGACAGGGGGTACATCATCATGCAGAACAGGAGGTGGGTGATAGTGAATCTCCTTGGAATATTCCAGATTCGATTTAATCTGCGGGGTATTATTGATAGGTGCATCCTTAGATTGTATCTTTAGCTGAGTGTTCCATTCCTTCATACTTTTTTCACACAGATTGATGATGTTTGGGTCAATTTTGAATATTTTAAGTATTTTCAATATCCACTGGTGTGGTACGCTATCGTAAGCTTTTTGATAATCTATCCAGCATAATGATAGATTTTTCTTTTTACTGTGTACGTCCTTCATTATCTTTTGTTGTTAATAATAGTAGATCTTTACATCCGTATGAACCTTTGCAGCATCCTCGTTGCTCAGCTGGAATCAACTGTTGAGCTATTAGGTGGTCATATATACGAGATGACATTATCCCAGTTAGTAATTTGTACAGTACGGATAAACAAGTAATGGGTCTGTAATTTTCTGGCTTAGAAGGGTCTCCTTTCTTGTAAATAAGATACGTGATGCCACTATTCATCCACGTGGGCAGATCTTCTTCTCCTTTTAGTATTTTTGTTAGATTACCGCTAATGTTTTATGGGTGGCACTTATCTTCTTTAAAGTAATTATGGATCTGTCAAGCCCACCGGCTTTCCAGTTGGCAGCTTTACTGAGTACATCCTTTATTTCCTTCTCCGTGATGCTTTCACCGGTCGTCATGCGTTCTAGGTGCTGATAACTGTCAATAGTTTCCTTCATCCATTCCGTGTTCTCGTCGATAATTTCCTTCCTTATTATTTTATATTATAATTATTATTATATTATTATTATAATATTATTATTATTATTATTATATTATTATATTGATTATTATTTTATTTATTATTATTTTATTATTATTATTATATATTATAGTTTATTATTATATGATTAAAACTATTATGATTATTATTATTATATTATTATAATAATAATTACTATATTATTATAATTAATTATTATATGATTATTATTATTATAACTATTATTATTATTATTATTATAATTATATATTATTATTATTATATTGTTATAATTTATTATGATTATTATTATTATTATTATAACTATCATTATTATTATAATTATTATAATTATTATTTTTATTATACTAACTATTATTATTATAATAATAATTACTATTATTATTATAATTATAACTATTATTATTAATTATAATTATTATTATTATTATTATTATA